CACCACCACCACCACCACCACCATTGCCACCACCACCACCACCTCCATTATCAGCACCACGGTCATTGCCACAATCACCAGTAATTCCTACCTTCACTGTCACCACAGCAAGAGCAGCAGCCACCACAGGGGAAAAGGAGTTTTGTAGAACAAACAGAACTGTCTTCCTTACCACTCCCATGCAGGGTGAGTGAGCAGAGGGCACATCCTGGGAGGGACTGGAAAATGGGGACTGAACTCGGGACCTTGCACTTGCCAGGCAGGTGCCTGTGACACTAAGCCATCTCCCCAGCCCATGGCAAAACTCTTGATGACATAGAAATAGGCAAAGACTTCCCAGACAGAACCCTAACTGCAGGAGACAGAACATGAAAACGTGGGGCACAGTGAAGTAAGAAGCACCTTCACAGCAAAGGAAACAACCAACAGGATAAAGGAACTGTCTCAGTTACATTGCTGGGACAAAATACTCAATGCCCAAAAATAAGGACGGAAGGGTTTATTTGGCTCGGTGTGGAAAGGTTTCAGTCTGTGCTTGACTGGCTCCCGGGCAGAGCGGCATGTGGCAGAGGACAGCAGTTCACGGCAGCAGATAGCAGCGAGGAGCAAAGGGAGGGGCAGCAGCTGCACGCCTGGGCAGCCCCTCGCCCGTCCTTATGTTACAAGCAGGCTCCCCTGGGCTGGGGGTGTAGGACTCGCACAAAGTGGTCTGCTCTTGCACAGGCTGAAGACATTCACAAACTAAGAATCCTGGAGTCACTTAATGAAACTTAAATTTTTCAAGTTGATGCAGTGTATCAACCAGCTCGGGGACCCTGTCATAGCTAGATCCTGGAATCAGCCCAGAGGCCCAGCAACCGAGGGAGGAACGGACAAAGACATGAGGTACTTTTACACAATGGAGTATTACTCAGCTACAAAGAAAAAAGAAAAAAAAAAAAAAACCTCAGGGCTTTTATAGGCAAGTGGATGCAACTGGAGACCATACTCGTAAGTGAAGTACATCAGACCTGCCTGCCTGTCGTATTGTCTCCCTAGTGTAAGAACCTGAAAGTGTAAATAAAATCTGAGAGGTACAATAGAAAGTGCAAAGCAAAAAGAAACTGCTGGGGAAAGGACAAGAAAGGAAGGGAGAAGTTATAAATGCGTATGCACACAAAATAGCTAAGAAATTTGTACTACTGATTTCTCTTGGTTTATTGTAAGAAATAGTTAATGTTTACTTTTTTTTTTTTTTGGTGGTACCAGGAATCGAACTCAGGACCTTGTGCTTGCCAAGCAAGCACTTATTCCACTGAGCTATCTCCCCAGACCCGATGCTTAGTTTTTTGATCAATTTTACATGCTTATATCTGGTAATCTGAAGAACTATTTGAAGATAACAGTATGCAATGCAACAACCATTGTTGATTTCCTCTCATCTTGCTTTGAAATTCTGTCACATTTTTAATGTTTTTGTCTTTTGAGACACAGTCTTGCTATGCAGTTCAGGCTGGCCTTGAGCTCACTTGTAGCCCAGGCTGGTCTTGAACTTGAAAATCCTGCCTCAGCCTGCCAAGTGCTGGGATTACAGGTGTGTGCCACCACACCTGGCTTCATTTTTAATGCTTTTCTTCTTTTTTATTCTCTTTAAAGTAAATTTTTTAAAAAATAGTGCGGAAGTGTATATGCACACCCATACACAAATAGGAGCCAACCTACAGAAAGGAAAAATATATATATATATTTTTTTTACAAGCTACCCCACAGACACGTACTGTCTAGGCCAGGACTCCACAGGCCTAATGTCTAGAATGTATAAAGAACTTGAAATATGAGGCTGCCAAGAACAAAAGACCCCGTCAAAAAGTGTGTGAGACTTCTAGATGCTTCTCAGAAGAAGCACAATTGGCCGATAAAGACACAAAAACGTCGCCAGCACCTCTGCAATGGCCATTAGAGAAATACGTGTGACAATGACACCGAGGCGCTGCCTTACGCCCAAGAGCGGGACCGTCCAGGCCCCGCACGGCCGCCGCACACGCCGGCACAGCTGCGGAAAGCCTGCGCTGCTGGAGGGAGGGTGAACTAGCACAGCCGCTTTGGAGAGCGGAGTGGAGAACTCGCGGAAAACTGAAAACAGACACCCGCCTGGTCCAGCCAGCCCGCTCCGGTGGCTTTCCCGGCGGGGCGAGAAGGATCGTTCTGCAGTGCACCAGCGTCGCCACGTCCACAGCAGCCGGCTCACGGCAGTTAAATCGCGGCCGCAGCGGTGTACCCACCCATCCACCGGTGAACGGATAAAGCAGATGTGCCACTTTTATTCATTGATTTTATTCATTGATTTTTGAGACAGGGTCTTGCTCGTGCAGTCCAGGCTGGCCTCGAACTCATTAGGGAGTTGAGGCTGGCCTTGAATTTGCGGTGACGCTCCTGCCTCAGCTTCCCAAGAGCTAGGATGACAGGGGGTGGTAACTGACCCACAGTGGGGAGCCTGTATCAGCCCCCTCCCTGGCCGCAGGTAATCGCTGTCATCACAAACATGTACTGAAACAAAAAATAAATTAAGAGTGGGAAAAGGGCGGTTGAACAAGAGTTCTTTTTTGTCTCCTTTCTTACTCAGGCTTAATGCCCGAGCGCACCCACCCTCACACCAGGGCTGGGGCTCCGCCGCACCCAGCGCCATCACGGTCAGGGACAGAAAGGGGCTCGCCCTGCCCGCCTGCAAGCAGCCGGGGACCCCAGCAGAGGACGGAAGTTTTCACCTGGAGCCACGAAGCCCACCAGGAAGGGGCACGCGCCTTCCTTGGGGGTAAGATTCTCGCCGCAGCAAGTACAACTCGGGTGAAGGGGAAATGCAGACATTCTCGGGCGAAGGCAAACGAGGAGAGTTTGTTGCTGGCAAGGCTGCTCTTAGAAGAAGTACTGTGACAGTTACCTCATCGTTTGGTCAGCCCAGAGGTGACCAGACCAGCACTGACTAGTCCCTGCTGAGTGGATGGTGGGCAGGCAGGGCCTGGCTAGAGGAGTGTGGGCTCGGGATGCTACCTGGGGACCACGCCTGTGCCTGGCCCCTCACTGGGCTGTCGCGGGCACTTTCTCTGCTTCCTGTGGCTGGAGGCGAACGCTCTCCCTCCCGTGGCCTCCTGCCGTGTGGCTCCCACACGGGTCTGGTTGCAAAGGATGGAGCCAGCCCTCCATGGGCTGAAGCCCCTGGAGCTGGAGGCCAAGTGAGCTGCCCTTCTCATGGCTGCTTTTCCAAAGTTGTACCCATAGATAGATACAGCTGATCAGCACAAGCGCTTGGACCTCCAGAAAGGACAAGGAGCCCTGGATTTGGTAAAACTAGAGGTAAACCCAGCAGGCTGGCCTTTTGAATTTCTTCAGTCGAATTTGGTGGTTGAATAAAAATCCTTATGCCATCGGATGTGCTTAATGTACGAACAGGAAATAGGATGCGTTGTTTTTAAACAGGAGGATAAAAGGTTGAACAGAAGTAGGGTCTTGCATTCTACTCCAAGTGATAAAGTTGTCACCCTGTACATTGTGACGTCATCTACACATACGTTGGTGGGGTACCTAGGGATGTCCCCCAAGTCCCTGCAGAGCAACACTCAGAAACACGGGGAGCAAATCAAGGTGCAATCCTAAGACGGTGCTCAGGCCCCGAGAAGGAAGGAGAAGCAAACAGAACACAGTGAACGGGGGCTTAATCCATGACACGGCACTTTCCTTAATCAGTTTAAACACAAAATTAAAATACAGAGATTGCAGGGAGATCTTAAAAATGGCCCGACAGCGTGCTGCCTTCGAACAGTGCACGTGGAGCACCGCGCAGGCTGAGAGGCAGGTGACGGGGAGGACCTGGCTGAGCTCAGCACACGGGGCCACCTAAGCCTAGACAAACCGTGCTGTCCGCACAGGCTCGGGGTCCTCGGCGTGGGCTTTGTTTCATACTCTGTCCTTCGCTCTTTCCATCTTCCTCCCCCCGAGTCTCTCCACCACCTCTTTCTCCTGTGCAGAAAGCCACAGGCTGCTGTGTACAGGACACGGGTGTGTGCCCTGCTACCTGTGCCCGGGAAGCCAGCGCTGTTTTCCTTCATCAGAAAGGGAGGGAGAGAGAGGCTCATGCTGTAAGAGTGTCTCCTCTTCTCCGTGTCGCTTCTGGTAACTCAGTGGCACCTTGGTTTGCAAGCTTAATTTGTCCCACAGTTTTGAACCAGACAGCCAAGTTTGGGTTTGTGTGGGAAAGAAGGCTTTGGCCACATTTGTCACCAATGCAGAGCTGGAAACAAAACCTTGCACCAAATGCATTTGTGAACCAAGCTGTACAAATAAATATGCTTTGAAACCAAGACACCACTGTATTTTGGGAGAATTCTACCAAATCCGTATAGGGAAATTCCTCTTACCCATCAGTTATTCACCTGGCAGGCACGGTGGTATGCGCCTATAATCCCAGCACTTGAGAGGCTGAGGTATGAGGATCACAGGAGGATCGTCGCGAGTTCAAGACCAGCCTGGGCTACAAAGTGGGCTTAAGCTGGGCCTAAACTGCACAGTGAGGCCCTGTCTCGAAGACAACAAATAAACGTACGCTACTTTTTTGAAAGCTATTAACTTGGTTCCAGTGTTTTGTCCCCCACAAGGATACTATAAACATAAACACAGAAAAGTCACCACTGCCCAGGGGAGGAGCTGGGGTGAATCTGCTCCCGGCTGCCAGGACAGCATCCATCCCAGGCCCTGCCTGACCTTGGAGAAGCACAGGCCGTCCCGGGGCCTTGGTGGCGACCACCGGGCAGGGTAGCCGTCTGCCCAGGCTTTGTCAGGAGGAAGGGTGGAGTGGGGACAGAGACCCCTAACAGACCCACTCCCACCCAGGGCAGAAGGGGAAGAACCAAGCGAGCCAGGCCACGTGATCCACCATTTTGTCCTTTATTCGACTTCCCGCCGAAGGACGCCCGGGCTCAGCCCCCACCCCAGGGACCCCTGCCCCAGGCGCAGTGCCCCTCAGAAGCACCTCCTCTGGACCACAGATGGCCCAAACTCCTTGAAATCAGCTGCAGTGACCCACATCTGCTTGAAGCTGCTCAGAGAGGTCACGATGGAGGCCCCGATCCACGTAGAGAACCAGCGGTCCGGCGGCGCGGTGATCTTGATGGGGGTCCCTTCGGGTGCCAGCAGCTCCAGCTCCTGCAGCAGCCGGTCGTCCAGCCCCTGGAACAGCGTGGTGCCCCCCGACAGCACGATCTCCCTGAAAAGCATCTTCTGGATATCGGCATCACACTTGGTGACGCTGCTGGACACCATCCTGGACAGCCCCGGGCTCTGCGTGCCCACCTGCTCGGGCGAGAATAGGACCTCGGGCGCCTGGAACAGCTGGTCGCCGAGGTAGATGACGTTCCCGTCCGGCAGCTTGTACTCCCGTAGCACGTCCTCCGGCCGCCGGGACAGCTCCTTCTCGGGTTCCGAAGCCACGTAGCAGAGCTTCTCCTTGATGTCGTCCACCAGGGCCTTGTCCAGCAGGCAGGAGAAGGCCCGTCCACCAGCCAGGAGGAGCCGGGTGAGCTGCTCTGTGATGTCCCTGCCTGCCACGTACAGCTTGGCCACGGCATGGGGCAGGGAGTAGCCTTCGAAGATGGGGACAGCGCAGGTGACGCCCTCCCCGCTGTCCACCACCAGGCCCGTGACACAGGCCGAGGCATACAGCGCCAGCACCGCCTGGTCTGACAGGTAGAAGGCGGGCACACCGAAGCTCTCGAACATCACCTGCGCCGTCTTCTCACGGCTCTCCCTGGGGTTCAGTGAGGGCTCCGTCAACAGCACCGGCTGCTCGCCGGGCTTCACGCCCAGCTCCCACTCAAACAGGTGCTGCCACAGCCTCTCCATGTCATCCCAGCCCACGATCAGGCCGCGCTCGATGGGCATGTGCATGTTCAGCGCCTCCTGCCTGGACAGGGCCTCGTCCCCCACGAAATACGTCTTCTGGTGGGGCCCTGCGGGGGACGGCTTGACCTTCAGGTGCCCCACGACGGAGCTGAGGACGTGGCGAGGCCCGACCTCTCCCGACAACCCTGCTTTGCAGAGCCCAGAGCCATTATCAAAGATCACAGCTGGGGAGTTCAGGGCTTGCGGGCTCGACATGCCTGCAGTGTTCCCCCCTGTGGTCACCAGGTGAAGGCAGCCACTCCCCACTGCCTAGGTCACAGTGGGCCCCTGGAAGGGGAAGGTCCCAGGATTCCGCAGTGCCCAGAGTCCTCCTGAAGCCTTAGCAGGCAGCCCCAGGCCCAGCACCCCGTCCGCCTTCTGTGCGCCTAACACAGACTTCACATGTAGCTCAGCCCAGAGGCCCCCCAGGGCCGATGGTCCCTGAGGTAACAATCCAGCCAGGACAGCGATTGTCCTCAGTGCCTGGATGTGGGGTGCTGTGCCCCCAGGGGGGGATGGCAGGCTGGCTTGGATCCACCCCAAAGCTGCGAAGCCACCCAGCCAGGCGTGCCTGTCCTGTCCCTTTACCAGGCAATGAACCAAGCACCAGGCTAGAGGAGCTTCACCCCAAAGCAGCAGGCACCCCGGAATTTCCTTTTGGCTACAGATGCCTCCAGGAAGCCCTCGGGGATTACCCTGCCCTCTGTCATGTTGGATCTGATTCTGGGTCCCACAGTAGATAGAAGCTAAGAAAGCCCCACCTGGGGAGCCTGTGTCCAGGTACTGGCTCTGTTCTGGCCCAGGTCAGGGCCCCGCAGTCTCTGCAGACAGCAGAGGCGGGGACTGGGAAGGGGGCACAGTCAGGGCTGAGGCCTAGAGTACTTGCCAAGCCTGCCACCCGGTTCCTGGCAAGAGAGGGCAGTGGGAGGGAACCTGTGGGCTCAGCTGGCCCTGCTCCTTTGCAGCGAGGTGGCCTTGGAGAACCAAGCTCTCCTGACCCTTCCAGCCCTCCAAAGTCTCTCCACCGCCCTCCTGCCCTCCTGCAGAGTCCCCACGCTAAATCTACATCCAGGGACCGGGGAGATAGCTCAGTGGAATAAGTGCTTGCCTGGCAAGCACAAGGTTCTGAGTTCGATCCCTGGTACCACAAAAAAAATAAATACATAAAAATAAATCTATACCCTGCTGACCCAATGACAGGCTGAGGAAGACAGCAGCCACAGGCAGGGGTACAGACGGGCTCTGTAGGCGCCTGGCACAGTCGTAGTGTGGGCTTGTGACGTGGTGTGGACTCGTGCCGAGGGCTTCACCGGGTGGCTCTGGGCCCCCCGCCCCGATCCCAGGGGCATCAATAACACCTTGATCACCACCAGAGGCTGTTCCTCAAAAGACGCCAAGGAAACCACTCAGAGCTGGCCTTCACACCAAGCAAGGCCCTGCCTCCTGCTAGCTGTGCCATCATGCCTGGCTCGCTCACTGTCCACGGACTCTGGGGTGGCTGCCCTCAGACCCCAAGCTCCCGAGGCCACAAGGGGCCACACTCTGTGATGACGTGTCTGGGTCAGGGCCTGGGAGGGGTCCTGGTGGTCCTGACCTGCATGCACGTGGAGATCGGTGGGGGGACAAAGGGCTAGCCCTGGACAGTGGAAAGTGCACAGCCTTGGTCCACGCAGAGAACTGCAGTCCTGTGGCCCCGGATGCTCCAGTAGCACAGGATGGCACATCCTGGGGACCACGGGTCACGTGAGAACATGGTGACTAACCTGCTCCCCCGCCCGGGCCTGGCTTCCTCCTCAGCCTCTAGGGGGCTGGGCTGTTTCCACCCCTGGACAGGTGTTCCCTGCCTTCTCCTGGCCAGAGGCCGAGGACACCGTGGGAAGGTGCCCGAGCACTTCCGGCCCTTGTCTCACGGGGCCCCAAGTGTCTTCCAGCTCGGTCCCCTGCTGAGTCGAGCAGGTGCTGTCCTGCACCTGCATCTGTTCCCCTGCACCCCGCCACTGCCGCCACCGCCGCCACCGCCTCCGATCCACCCTGACACTGAAAAGCACACCTTTCTTCCTCCACCACAACAGCCGGAAGCTCTGGAGTGGGCCTTTCAAGGCCTCGAGGGGACTCTGCATGGGGACCGGGACGCGCTGGATCCTGGCCCTCGTTGCCAGGTTTGCCAAGGCCAGCGGCTCCAAGGCCAGCCTCTGCCCTTGGAGTGTGGCATGTCCATGCCCACTCATTGTCCAGCTGGGCTTACTATTGTCCCCCTGGTCTGAAGACCAGAGCACTGAGGAGCCAGGACTTCCTCTGGGTGTCACCATGTGGCCGCCCCGTGGGTTTATGAGCCGCAGCGCAGCCTACGTGAGGGCCTGCTGGTTGGAGCTTCCCCTGGGGCAGAAACTTGACCCAGGCCTCCAAGCCTCCTGGACCCCCTTCACGGCCTTGATGGGAGTCTCTGGCTTCCGCCCACCCCACCCTCGGAGGCGGGATGCATGGACTGCAGGTCCGGCCAGTTGTGCTGGTCACCCTGGGATGGACCCAGGCATGGCCCAGGCACAGGAAAGGAGGCCTTCCTCTCCTCCTCTGCCTCCAATTAGGAGCCGTCTGCATCTGCCGCCCCCACAACGAGCCACCAAGCCTCATAAATCGCTTGAACGAGTTTATGTGGGCGAGTGGCTCTAAGTCCATCCTGTGATTGCAGCGGGAGCACGGGCCTTGAGGGCGGCCTCGCTTCCGGCCTCCAGGAAAACACACGTTCATTGCCGCGCCAGTGAGCGTGGCCATCACCTCTCCTGTTCCCGCAGAGCCCCCCTTGCCCCGTGGACCCAGGGTCCTGGGAAGCTGCCGGGTGCTTAGACCTGGGATCGGCGGCCCCAGCCTCAGGATGCCCTGGTCTCCACTGGCCTGCATTGGATACCCGTCCCCCAGCCCTGGTGCCAGGCCCGAGTGTGCATCCCATTATCCCTGGCTCCGCTTGTCACTGGTGCCCCAAGCCTCTGCCAGTCAGTGACCAGAAGACTGGGCTCATTGGTGCTGCCGACAGCTGGCGGCCAGAGCCTCTCACAGAGGGGCTGGCTGCAGCCCACAGGAACAAGGTGGGCGCAGGGGGCCCTGGCACCCCGCTAGCCTAGCAATCCCGGGGAGCCCAAGCCCTGCGCAGCTTAGCCCTTTTGAGTCTCTGAGGTGAGAGTTGTACCAGTCGCCCCTAAGCCTTCCACCCACCCCCACACAGCCACTCGCCTCCCTGCCCGCCCACTCACCCTTCCATCCACCCTTCAGCCACCCAGCCACACATTCTGCGGTCTGCCCTTCCTCACCCGCACATCCATCCATCTACTCATCTACCCATCTGCCCACCAGCCGTCCTTCCCTCCTTTCCTTCCTCCCGCTTCCCTCCTTTTTATTTGCCTTTCTAGCCACATATCCACCCATCCAAATGTCCATCCAACAATACCCATCCTTCTTGCCTTCTTTCCTCCCCTCCCCTGCCCTTCCCCACCACTCCTGGGAGTCCGCCTCCCTCCTTGGTAATCTCCTCTGCAGGCCCACAGCCCCTGCATTTTCCAGTCCAGCGCTCAGGAGCCTTCCCTGCTCTGCTGCTGCCCCTTGGGCAGTGTGGTTGGAGGTGACAGAGAGCTCTGGGGTGACTGTGCATCCTGCTGCTCCACCCCATCAGAGATCCAGGGATGTGAAGACCCAGCGCCACCATCTCATGGACGGGCAAGGATAGGACCAGGGGCACTCAGCCCCCTGGGGCGCAGCTGGACTCAGCAATGCCTGTTGTCTGGCTCCCGGCCCCCCTATGAATCCCCATCCAGCGGTTGGGTTGGTGCCTGCCTGGAGCAGTCAGCCCCTATCTGTGCAGGGGAAGCAGATCCTCCTGGTGGCCCTGGTAGTGGTGTGGCCTCACTGGGCGAATGATGAGCGCCGAGGAAGGTGCTGCAGAGAAGATGAGGCTCCCTAGGACAGGTGTGGTGGGAGCCCTGAGCCGGAGATTGGGGAACCCAGGTTCTGACGCTGACAAGAAGCCAGCAGCAGCAGCTCCCTGGGCTCTGGGATTGGCGCCCAGTCACAGCTGCCCCAGGACCCCCTTGGGGGTGTCCGTGTGGGGTCACCCACCAGCGTGGACCAGGCTAGGACCAAGCCCACATTCCCACCACCCAGGTCAGAGTGGGTGGGCACAGCCACTTGGTGGTCCAGAGCCCCCGTGGTTGCCCCAGGTCACTGGGGCACCTGTCTTGGTCAACTGGGTCATCCCACAGCCCAGGATGGCTGGCTCAGTCAGGAGGCTGAAGCCAAGAAGAGGTGCTGGCTCTGCCAGGTGGTGAGGACCATCTGCTGCTGTGCCCACGTGGCACTGGTGGCAGGCCAGAGTGGGCATGGAGGGCAAGCGTCTGGGTCAGAACTGTGCTGGGCCTCCACATCCTCTGCTCAGTAGGGACGTCCTTGTCTGCCAGTGTGAGGAACCGCGGGGTCAGGACAGCAAATGCTCTGGCTCATGGGGAGCGGCCCCAGCGTGAGGAGGCTGCGGCGCCCCGGCTGGGCCCCTGAGAGTCCCTCTCCCTACCTAAGCCAGTATGCCCTCCTCAATCCTAATGCTTCGAGACCTTATGTCCTAACCTAAGGCCAGGCTTCCCCTGACTCCGGTGCGAGAGGAGAAGGCTCAGGGCTCCAGTCCCCATGTCGAGAAATTCTGCTGGCCAGACAGGCAGAGCCCAGACCTCTGGCCAGTCCCCCTGTGGCCCTCAAAAAAGAGCGTTTCCTGCCCCCTGCTGGTGCCCAGGTAGAACTGCCGTGGAGTCTGAGGTGGTGAGGACCTAGGGCAGGGCCAGGAGCCAGCGGCAATTTCTTGCTAAGTCAAGACACTGGGGGAAGGGCAGGAATCAATATTTGCTAAATAACGGGAAAACTACCTCGCCTCAGTGGGGAGAAGCTCTATTTTCGAGTGTGTTAAGGTGATTACCCAGAGGAAGGGCCCACCAAATGAGCCAGCGTGCGGATGGGCCAGCGGCCGGGTCCCGAGAGCACCCACCAAGCCCGTGTTCATGTGCTCCCTCCAACCGGACACAGCCAAGCTTTGGGTTTTAAATAGTTTATAGCATTTCAGATACGGCTTTGCAGCCCAGGCCGTCCCTGGAGACGCTGAACAGACTTCTACACTTAGCCAGTGATAAATAACCGAGAGCGCACAGGGCCCGGAAGGATTCCAGATTTAATTCAAATAATTTAAAATCTAATGTTGAAAGAGCTCTCTGCACTCACGGGCTGTGCTGGTTTCCAGCTGGAGAAAGAAAAGGCTTTGTGTTTGGGGGTGAGGAGAATGCGCTCACCTCCTGTCCACGCTGCTGCTGCTGCTTCAGCAGAGCAGC